TTCATGCTTTACAGTCTTCCTCGTCAAGCACATGTATATTAGCAACAAGCAAGGTAGGAAGCATGGATAACATCAAGAAGGGTGGTTAAGCAAATACACCATGTGAACATCAATCATAACTCTTGTATCAATAAACAATTCAATGAACTTCAAGAACCATATTGTTCAAGTATCTCGACAAGGCTCACACATGCTCTTCAACATAAGTATGGAATCCAAATACGTCAGAATAACGGTCATAGACATGTATTTGTGAGTAGGTATAATGAGGACCAAATTTAGCAGATCAACAGTTTCACAAAGAGTCTGTCATATTTTATCAAGATGTTATAGGCTGAATCATGGTTTCTAGCATTAAAATTTTCATTCATACTATTATAGAAATCAAGTAAAACATGAGGCAAGAAAATCACATAATCCAATAAGGCACAAAGAATCATAAAATCTACCCCGAGCATGGATAACCCTGGCACATGCATATATGCTCGTCACTTCGCATATACATCACCCCCACATGAAGCAAACAATATCATTTTATTAGGAAAAGTTCATTCGACAAAGTTAGGTAAGACACTTACCTCTATCCAGAACACAATTAACAATTAACCATGGCTTTTCCTTTTGAACAAGCCTCCCAGTACTCCTTCATCCTTAACAAGAGGTCTCGGGTTCGAATCCTGAAAATGGAGTTTTCCTTTGATAGTGATGCTTTACCTCCCCCTCCAAGTGAAACTTTTCGACGTGAATCCAAATTAGTTAGTCCGAAATTGGGTATTTAACACCGGATAAAAACCAATAAACGAAAAAGTTTAACTTGTAATAAGGCAATATTTCTTTGTATATTTGTATCCCCCTCTGCAAATATAAGGAGGTTTGGCATACCGCTGCTATAAAGCTTGTCTTAAGCCATACAATGTCTTGTTGAGACTGCAGACAAGGTTAGGGGATGAAATTGTCATGCTTTGTGGACTTCATGCAAATCAATAGCTTTAGTGAATCCAAGCAGCTTCACTACATCCTAACATAAAACTATGCAATATGCATCACTCTTTAGACCTGGTATGAAATATGCCATTTTGATAAACATGTTAACCAGAATGAAAAGGCTATCAAATCCAACTCACCGTCCTTGGTAATCCTAGCACAAAGTTCATCAAAATATAGCCCACTTGGCACGGGTAAGGATGTATACTATTGGGATCAAAATAACATGGTGCATGAAAAAACTAACAAAGACAAATTTGATGATTAAAAAAATTAGGCATATCAGAAGAGATTATCATTTAAAGTGGTTTGGTCGATTGATCTACATTATAAGAGATTAAAAACTAATTTTAATATAAGAAAAATACAAAAATATAAATTTCTCCTAAATGTGATTCTGCTAATAACTATATTGTGGATACTGTTGTTGTTGTGAGAGGCAGAGATCCTCAATTTATAGATGTTCAAGACTTTTCCTTAACAAAATAATAATGCATACGAAGGAGATTTATTCTTTTTAGGAGTCATTTTCTTTTCCTCGAAGAAAAAGAGTCCTAATAGATTAATAATGCAGGACAAAACCCTAACATGTACGACCCCTGAGGCTGAACTCCTATGTAACTCCCTTAGAGAATTCCTTATAAGAACACATGGGGAACACAAATTTTCTCATCTTTAAACAAATACCCCTCTATCTTATGCTATCTTTCAAATGAACCAAAATCATGGTCTGAAGCATACATCATAGTGAAATCAAATCCCATAAGTCCAGATGTAAGAGTAGTAAGTAGTGTATATTTCCGCGAAGTGCATGTGCAACCACATTGTCCTAACCTTTTTTGTACTGAATAATGTATTGGGATGTTCTAATGAACATCTACTACAATGCCCTTTCTACTAACTACAAACTCCAAGAATATAACACTCTCTGTACTTTTTAAATTCATATATAATTGTTCTTTCCTAAGGACATTGAAAACCAATCTGAAGTGTACAAGATGACCATCAAATGATTTGATGTAAATTGCGACATCGATCATCAAAGTACACTACAGCACTTTAATTTTAATCTTATAAAAGTGCTAGGCAACTAATTAGAAGACATGACTAACCACTCATATAATCCCTGCTTAGTTTTAAAAGCAGTTCTTATCCATCCTCATGTTTTATCCTAATCTGGTGATGCCCCCTTATCAAATCTTCCCCTGAATTTTTTTACTTTTTCATGCTTGTTGTATTTGACATTTGGATAACTTTTTTCTAAGAACAAAGGTTTGACATTTGGATGATCATCAGTTTGTCAAACATTCAGAAATCCCTGCTTAAATACGTACATTTTGTTTATCTGAATTTCAAATCCAACAGTTTCTTCTCTATTTTCCGTCTCACTTATAAAAACGAAAAAAATGACTAGTAACTTGAAGAACGTGGAGAAATACTCAACAATGATTAGAGTTTTCAAGAAGAGTGAGATTTAGAAAAAGAAAGTGTTATTTATTCTTATGTCCAAATGCCCACGTAATGGCCATGAAAAAATATTCACTTTTTCTCGAAAAAATTTTACTTTTTTCGAAATCATTGTTTGGCCATAAAATTTTCAATTTGCACCTGAAAATAAATTTTAGAATTTTTTGAAAATTTGAAAAACTACAAAAAAACTGTTTTTCAAAATTCTCACTCAGATCACTCGCAAAAATTCAAAAGCAACCCAAAATTATATTCATGTCCAAACACAACTCTAATTTTCAAATATCATTTTCTTTTTTTAAAAAAATCATTTTACGGAATTTTACAATTCTTTTGTCCAAACGGGCACTTAATGTCCTGTCTGTACCTTACCGAATTTTTTGGACAAAACAACTTAGTATTCCATCCGATAAATGACGAGAAGAAGTAGGTACTTTTGCTTTTGAAACCACGTCATTCACCAAGCATCTAATTTAATTTCTAGTATTTGATTACGAAAACCCAAAAAAACTTGTCAAACTGTATATGAACATATTAAGATAGAGGATCAAATCAATCTATGATTGTTTAATTACGACAGATTATTTGGCAAACACTAGTGTAATACTCTACTTTGTCACCTTGTAATAATTTTGACCTATTAAACACCCACCTTAATTTTTATACATTCACGCAGATTAACCAATTCACTCTTCCTTCATCAAATCTTCAAGCAAGAAAATAATTTTAAGAATTCCCTTACGAGCCAAAATGAAGATCATCCTCTTAGTTGCTCTTTCAATCTTCCTTCAAGGAGCTCTTGGTAATTTCATAAAAAGAAAATGAAAGAAAAAGGCCATATATACTACGTTCTTCATACTTAATCCGTTTGAGGTTTAGTATTATGCAGAATTATTCTAAATTCACTACCAAGCTTTGCTCACCTCAGTGTTATCATTATTGTCCCAACATTGTTGATCTTTACTACAATTTGGCTTCTGGAGAAGGTGAGTATTTCACACCCAGAAAAAATAAATTATAGACTTTTTAAAGAAATTTTCTTTCTTAAAGAAACAATTTTAAAGTTATAGAAGATTACTTAATACAGAAGTTATAGATCCGATACTATAAATGGTTTGTTTTTGTATAATTTTATTAGTTATAGTGATCAGTTACTCAGTATTTGCTTCTAGTGTAACCCACTATTTGCTTCAAGTTACCAAAAGATGCTTATTGTAGAGATTAAATGACCATTATCTTTTAAATTATTTGATTGTATAAATACTTTTTACCCTGTTAGTGTTTAGAAGTTAATTACTTCTGCAAATGTTAAAAGACTCCTAGGAAACTTTACAAAATCTTTTAGTTAGCCCACAAACAGATACATATGCCGTTTGTGTCGTGGAGAAGACCAACATTTTCACATCTTTTTATCATTCTGGTAAAAGGGGTCATTTGAATTGAAAATTTATAGTTCCATAAAGAAAGTAACTGACCTGTTTTTTTTTCCTTGTATTTTACAGAGTAAACAAAGAAGTTAAGAACAACCATTTTGTACTCGTTATTCTAGCTTTTGTCAGTATATTTCGTTCTTCTCAAGGTTCTAAATTTCTCATTGCTACATAACTTCACCAAAGTTCATTAATACTTTTATGTTAGTCCAATTTATAATAACAGATCGTTAGACTTAAATATTTGCTATAAATCCTGTCATACTATGTAGGGCAGTAGGGTAATTTGCACTTACATTTAGTCTAATTTCATAGAGTTACACGCCTTTCTTCTGGTCTAAATTTCATTTTTTGCCATTAAATGAAGCGAACATATAGTAATAAGGAAAAGGAAAAACATGTACGTACACATGTATGCGGAGATATAGTACACTTATGTTCCTTTAAAGGAGGAAATTTTACATTTATTGTACTTGGCAGTTGGCAGTTGGCATGCATTCGGCTGTAAAGCCCCATAAGTCCAAAGATGCCACTAGTAAAGTATACTTTTGAGAATTTACTTAAATAGCCCGTCGAATTCAATATTTACTAATGGGTATACATACATTATATATTATATATGCACCCCATAACATCTTTATTCTAATCTATATTTATGTTCTTAAAGTATGAAAATTCAAAAGATTTGTGAAGTTTATGCCTCGTTTCATGATAGGTAGAACCACTAGTATTATATGCTTTTCAAAATACCGGTTTGTGATTAATGGAGCTATAAGAAAATGTTTTTCAAGGAAAATTATTTTCAATCAACAATGGAAAATAGCTTCACATTTATGGAAGAAAATCACTTTCTTTACAATTATCTTTAACTTTGGATTTCATATCACTTGCTCAACCCAATATGCTAACATTATTATTCAACCTTTTCATCAATATGCAATTCGATAAGCTAATATTATTATTAAGGCCAAACATGTTGTATGAAAAAAGAAATTACTTATTAACCAAACATCAAACAATACTTTTAACGGAAAACATTTTCAATGACTTCTATATAGCCAAATACTCTAATTTGTGGTTATGTATATGATTCGTAGCAGATTCGATGTGGGGTTCAGCCACGACAACTCAAATCAGACTGTGCATTAACCAAAAGCAGTTAAGTTCGATTCTCAAATCACACCCTAAATCCAACTTGAAGCAAAATTGGATGTTCATAGAATTAAAATATCCTAAAAAAATAAGTAAACACAAGCAAATTCCAAAACTGGATAGTAATCTTCAAAATCTCTATTGCTGCAATAATTGCTTAAGCCAACCTGAAAGTACAAATGAAAATCAACTTAAACTTTGTAACCCCTGCTCTTTCTTCTTCCACGTGCCCTCTCAAACTTTCTTCCCTTTGAACGCACATATGGTTTGGTGTGGCTGTGTGGAACACCAGGTGCTGGACCAAAGTGCTTCACTGCTTCACGAGCATTCTTAGGACCTCTGAGGAGAAGCTGCACATTCACATACTAATATTAACACAAGACTTCGTATATTGACATTGAAGTCATTTCAGTAATCATGAGGAGACAGTGATGACTCTTCATTTTTAGAAGAAACACAAGAACGTATATCCATTTGCCATGTATGACAGGAGACACGAAACAAGCCGAAGTAGTTGGCTTGGTGTTTTCTTATACTTCCTCTTCCAACGTGGAAAGCATGGATAATATAATGCATTTGTAGCCACCAAGCATAAAATCAAACTTGCACAATTTAAGCATATATAACATGCACGCAACAAAGTATACCATGCATTTTATGAGTAGCATGAATTTTCACAATCAACAACCAACCATATTAAGTTCAAAAATTGAATGCTTGCACGGCCTTCTACAGTTCTACTCTGTAAGCACCTTATTAGGGCAAATTTAATTTACATCTTTGTTGCATCTGAAAAGCATTAAAAATAATTCTGCTGGTAAACTTTTAAATGCAATTAACAGTTTTAGTATTAAGTGACATAGCAAATTATTTAGAATCAAAGCGACACTTGACCAATTCAAAAATCAAATGAATACAAAAGAAAATTGTTTTGAGAGCACATCACATGTCTTTCTCTGTCACATGGATTTTCAAAACCAGCACTTACTCCAGTATGTAATGTAAATTGGAAATCCTGATGCTTGGGTAATACAATGGTCAAGTTGCAACACGCACATACAGCTTTTTTAAGTTTCAACTTTGTTAGCCCCATTTTTTGGCAATTTTAACTAACGGAATTTACTATATCTGAACAAAAGAAGTGTTCTTCTTGATGCCTAAGTAATTCATGCAAACGCTTCTATATCAAGTCACATGAAATAGGCAATCTTATAGAATCAAGATGAACATTCTCCATCTTCAAAATGAATATCTTTTTGAATAACTATTACTATATAAAACTAATTTGAGACATTCTCAGGCCTAATGAAATCAAGATAAGCTCGTCGGAAACTCTTAATAGACCCAATATCTTATAATGTGAAAAGTGCCAGTCACATCTAAAGAAACGGGAAACAAACCAAATATAATTCAGAACTCACTTTTTTTTACAAGTCATACACAACCCAGATTGATGCAATATAGCACCGCTCACGCTCGAAATTAAATTAATGAAGTCAAACAGTTGCATTAACCTTATTCCTTAAAATAAAGCAACTGTTTGCATTGGATAACATTTCTCCTTCCTGAATATTTCATGGGGAAAGCCTTCCCAAAGTTTGTCTCCCAAAAGAGAGAAATAAATTGAAAAGTAAGAAAGATGTTATCCTATAACATTGGAGCGCAACTCCATGGATTCAACTAGGAAAAGGCTCAAGCAGATAGGATTCTTTTCAGTTTTCTCTATGCACAGATAAAATCTTTGGAATCATAACAAGATTCCCAAGAAGAACTATGTGCAATAAGCAACGTAGTTATATTGACCAATCTAAGGCTACTATAGTGCATCAATATCTGAACACTAGTAGTGACATCAAAACTTATAACGTAACCAACTTTCCTAGGTTATAACTGAAACTTGATAGAAAATTACAATCAGAAGATAAAAGAGCAATAAGCTTAAGATTCAATACCGTGTTCTGACCAAGTGGGGCCCTAAGAGCAAGCTGATCAAATGTCAAACACTCTCCACCGGCCTTCTCAATCCTTGCCCTTGCAGTTTTTGTGAACTTTAAAGCACACACCTTCAGTGTCGGAACATCATAAGCCCTAACGTCATCCGTGATGGTACCGACAATGACAGCAATCTTATCCTCCTAAAACATAACATCAAAAAAAGTATCAACTTCAGTCCATAAAATAAATTTGAACGCCAACACATACACGCAAAAAGGAGAAGAAATGCACCTTTCCTTTGGCATAAGATATCAACCTCGAAAGGGAAAGGGGTGGTTTGTTGGTCTTGCTCATAAATAGCCGCTTAAGAATCACAGCATTGAACTTGCTTCCGGTCCTCCGCACCAAAAATCGGTAAAGCTATTAACATACAACAAAATCCACTAGTAAAACATTTGACAAGATTTGAGGGGAAAAAACAATAGAGAAAGTTAGAGGGATCAAACCTTGACAAGGAGTTTCAAGTAAACATCGTCAGACTTAGGCGCTGTGCGCTTCGTCTTCTTGCTCTTACCTCCCGCTTTCAGATCTATCCCCTGCTCACCAAAAAAACATTGGTTCTTTATGTAAATAACAGAAAATTGATTCTTACTTCTTAACCTACTATCATGAGAAGAAAATAAGAAGATACATGTAGTAAGTAAACACAATATGATAATCCGATTGACTAAAAGTGTGGTTTACCATTTTAAAATTTTGCAAACATGTATTGGGTTTGGTCTAATTAGAAAGAGAGGAAAGAATATCTAACCATTTGATTCCGTCAGAGAACGCCAACGTGAGGAGGTCGCTGCTGGAGAAAGATATGGCCGAGTAGCAAGTTAGCAGCTTAGGGTTTGACAGGAATTTAAACAAGAAGCTGATCTCAATTTGGGCTTTTTCTTTTTCTTTTGCTTTTTCATACAGCCCATTATGAGGAATTTGGGCTTAAAGCCCAGGTCGCCGATAAAATGAGTCTTATAAATTAGAGTAAACTACACAATCTGCCTATCAAGCCTAAAGTAATTAATCACGAGGATTTTACATAGAATGCAACCTCTTTAAGACTTACTAGTTTCTTGGCGTATGCCGAATCATATAATGCACGAGTTTATACACTACTATCAATATTATTAAAATAAAACTTTTAATAAATATACTTCAAAGGATAAAGTACATGTTTCTATGATCAATATGAATTATCGTACGATGACTTGTTTGCCGGGGTAAATAACCTTGGATATCATTTCAACCTATGAAGATGAACAATCACAGTTTAATTAGATATATACATGTGATTGTTTTTTTATTTTTTATTTTTATGCGGTACAAACATGTAATGAAGCTTATCTCAAACTTCCTTATATTCTTTATTATGTTCCTTTCATCCGTTTCGATTGCTATATCATGACCATAACTATTAATACACCATTCACACTATAAGTATATCACATGATATGAACAATCCTTAATCATATTCATTGTCACTCATCCAAAGACCTTTAAACTCCTTATTAATCTCTATCTAGTAATAGAGAAATGATTCACCTTTATTTTGTCAAAGAACAAAGAGGTTCTCTATCAAGATAAAAATCAAAAGAGATAAAATGATTTTTTGGTGTTTAATTTTTTAAAAAAAAAATTAAAGCGAGGACAGGTGGTTATTTATTTTTTAAGTATATATGAAGTGTTGACCAAGATCATTACATTTCATTTTTTAAAGCAACTTACTGTCATTCTTCCATTACAACTCTAATCTATTTTAGCCAGGAGGATAGAGATGTGACTTGAAGTCACAAAATTCTTACATGCTCTAATAAATATTCAATTGTGTGACAATCTTATCTAAAAACTTAAATTATTAGAGATCACACTTGTAATTTCTTAAATTACTCTTTATATTATTGGATTAATACTATAGATTAGCCTCTATATGTAGAGCCTGAAGGTTTCACATCTATACATGATGAGGCACGAATGCACACAATTGTGATGTTTGTTATGAAAATAATAGGATAGAACCAAAATCTATGATCGAGTTCTGAACAAAAATGCTGGCAAATATAATGTTAATATTAGAGTCTTATGACAATTGAATGTACTAAAATGGTTATTTGTTCCTATACAAAAGAAATTCAGATAGTAAGAAGAATGAACATAATCAAAATGGTACAAAAACTCTTTAATACAGGATGTTATGTTTAACCTAGCAAGAAAATATTGAAAAGAAAAAGTTCAAGAATCTGATAGCAAGAATATAAATGACATGTTTTTGTTTAAAAGGTTTTCTGATTAAGATCCCAATGAGATTATATTATTCATCTCGTCACTCTTTCTAATTACTTGTCACGACCCAAAATCCGACTAGTCGTGATGGCACCTAACTCAACTCGCTAGGTAAGCCAATTATCAACTATCCAATTCCAATGAATTTAGTAAGGCAATTAATTAAAAGAAATATATAAAACCAATACATTTCCCAAGAACTGGTAGTACAAATCATGAGCTTCTAAGAATAGAGTTTACAAAGCTGGTATAAAATAAATACATCATCTGTTTGAAAAGTACATAAACAGAGTTTTATGAATCTAAGGCTACCATGAACAAGAGGCAGCTACAATCGGAACGCAGGTACACCTTCAGATCCAGCTCCCGACGAACGCAGCAACATCAGCAGCCAACATCTGCACGCAAGGTGCAGAAGTGTAGTATGAGTACAACCGACCCCATATACTCAATAAGTAACAAACCTAACCTTAGGTTGAAAGTAGTGACGAGCTTGTACCAAGGTCAGAGTCCAACTCCAATAACCAACAACAGTTCATAACCACATAAAGCAACTAATGAAAGAAGTAACCCAAGGAATAAATGCTCAGCTAAATCATGATTTTCAAAAATAGTTTTGCCTTTCAAGTGTATCAGTGAAAGTCCCAAGTTATTTACCGAAGTTGCCAAAAATACGAATAAGTTTGAAAACAGTAATGTTTCCCAAAAATCCTTTCAACAATGATAAGATATTTTATTTTCTTTCCAGATAGCCAGTAAAAAAATACATCACTATGCCTGTAGGCTAATATGTGTGAGAAGTCATGAATGACGTGATACCGTACAGTGTGAGAAAAATACATCTATATGTCTGTATGTCATTCCCATAAATCTATTCTACGAGAAGTGAGGGGACTATCTGTGTACGGGTAAAATCGGGGATGAAGTTACCCCCGATTTTTCGATGAAGAAACGACAGATCACACGGTTTAATGATGGCTCAGGCAAAGTTGAGGGTTCCCACAGATCAGAGTCAGGAAGGGCGAACGACACACCAAGAATCGAGCATGACCAAATATGGAAAAATTGAGCTCAAACAAAACAAGGAGTCGAAGTTAAAGGGACAATGGTTACGAGAAGCCGGAATATCCGCCATCAACCGGATATTACGGTGCGGATCGTATTTTACTAAATAAAAAGATTTTTACCTTATTTAGACTTGTACTAGGGTTGAAACTCCCCTGCTATATAAAGGGGAGAACCTTTTTCATTTTTTCACTACTTTTAGAGCGAATTTCAAAACGATAAATTTTACTTTTGTCTTCTAGATATTGTTCAAGGTATTCTTCAGCTGTTCATTTCTTAGATGTAACCGAGATCATCTCGAGGGCTTGATCGAAGCCGGTTCCCAGCATTCAAAACTAACGCCAGGCTTAATTATTATATCGCCTTGTTTTTCTTTAATTCAATTATTTGTTGTTCTTAGATCATTCGTATTAAATTAAATCATGTATCCTTTAAACCGCGTATAAATTTAATTGTTACTCATTTTAAGGGTAAACACTACTTATTGTGTCAACTCACATAACGGAATGCTAGAACTCAGAATGACAAATTGGGTCATTATAGCTTACCTAAGTATGGTGAAGTGAATGTTACGAACTGTAGAATATTTTATATGACTTCTATTGGGAACATAAGTTGACTCATACCCGAGTCGAAGGGTGAGTTATGGGTGAAAGAAGCTTCACAATAGGACATGGAGAACTAGGAAGTATTTCTTAACTTCTATGGTCGTTATTCAGTCTCAGTGAGTTACCTTATTATGCTAAGTAATAAATCTTCTCTAGATGTTGCAGACTTAGCTAGCATTTGGCCATAGATTTTTAAATTTATTTTGAAAAATCTGATTTGGATGAAATTTGGTTTGAAGATGAAAATGTATTTGGACATCAGTTTTCAAAACATATTTCACTTTTTTTTTTAAAAACATGAAACATGACTTATATCCACAAGTTCTAAAAACTATCACAAATACCTAACAGTACCTTCATCAATAATATTCATTATATTATCACAAATCATAGTCCTGAACAAAAATAAATTTAGTACAAAATTATTATTTTTATAATTAACTACATAATATACTATCAGATGACCAAGAAGACGAAACAACATTGTTATAAAATAATAAATGGTGGCTCTTTTATAAAATATAAAAGTTTGGGGTAATTTTTAAAAACTTAAATAGTAATATTTTGGGCCAAAAGAGCTGGTTTTGGGATTTGGATTTTGGGTTTTGAAAATTTGCCAAAATATGGATAAAATTTATGAACAAACATGTATTTGCCAAAACAAATTTGGAAATTTTTTGACAAAATCTATGACCAAACGGGTCCTTACTTTGAGGCACAGTCTTGCTACCTAAATATCATTTATCCTATGGTTAGCTATGCAGGCGTATAGGGTGAAATATAATATGACATGTAGTCATCTAAAGGGAGGACACGTGAAATCCAAGACGGGGATGGCCAAACATTCGACATCCTGAGGAAGCATAACATGAAACTTAATCCCGAGAAGTGTGCGTTCGAGGTTAGTTCTGGTAAGTTTCTAGGGTTTCTGGTCTCACAAAGGGGAATTGAGGTAAACCCCGACAAAATCAAGGCCATAGAGGATATCCCGGATCAATTGTCAAACGTAAAGGAAGTCCAAAAGCTCACAGGAAGATTAGCAGCTTTGAGCAGGTTCATTTCCCGATCATCAGAAAAATGTCATCGCTTCTTCACACTGCTCAAAAAGAAGAAGAATTTCGAATGGACACCAGAGTAGCAGCAGGCTCTGAGGCATCTGAAGAAGTACTTATCGAGCCCTTCATTTCTCTCAAAACCAAAAGAAGGTGAAACATTGCTAGTCTACCTCGCGGTTTCAGAAGTTGCGGTAAGTGCGGTTTTAGTCCGGGAGGATGAAGGTACGCAATTTTCATTTATTACGTCAGCAAAATTTTAACGGGAGCAGAAACTCGCTACCCACATTTGGAAAAACTGGCCTTTGCTCTCGTAGTCGCCGCTCGAAAGTTGAGACCCTACTTCCAATGTCACCCGATAGTTGTGGTGACTACTTTTTCTTTGCAAAACATCCTCCATAAACCCGAGCTCTCGGGCAGATTAGCCAAATGGGCCGTTGAAATGAGTGAGTTCGTCATAAAATACAAACCAAGGACTGCAATTAATTCGCAAGTTTTGGCTGACTTCTAGGCCGATTTCAGTCCGGGGCTGATGCCTCTGGCAACTAAGGAGGTAGTAATGGTGTCGGAATCGACATAGGGGGTCTGGACCTTATTTACAAATTGATCTTTCAACGTAAAGGGGTCTGGACTCGGAATAGTCTTAATCACGCCTTCGGGGTAAACCCTAAGGCAAGCCATCAGAACGATCCTTTTAACTAATAATGAAGCAAAGTATGAAGCTTTGATTGCGGGGCTCGAATTGTCCCAGGGACTTGATTCCGAGGTTATCAAAATTAAATGTGACTCGCAGCTGATAGTAAATCAGGTCTACGGGATCTTTGATACCAAAGAAGAACATATGCAACCATACGTGGTAAAGGTCTAGGCT